TTGCTGGTAGTCCATTTAAATGTACAGTTGGAGGTAATATTATTGATAATGTTGATTTGATGAAATACGATCTACAAAGAGTATTAAAGTATAGCAATAGAACTTTTGACTCCACCTTCTACACAGACGTGACAAATATCTGAGCAACGAGTTATCACACACTGCATATGAATAACGCCTCAGTATAATCTATGACCTATTGTCTTATTGTATTTCTAGAGGATTAAATAAAAGGATGATCAAGAAATGTGTCCCGAAATCGATAGCATAAAACAATCTCCTTGGAATTAGTAACAGTAGCCACATCATGTTTAACATTATAGTCCTGTAGAGATTGTGTTAACAGTGGTTTTTTATTTTGCTCATTAAAAATTTAGGAATTGGATTTCCAACAAGTCGTGGTGGTGGTGGCGTAACAACGACATCATCATCATCATATGTACAACGTTCAGATGGAAAACTAACAAGTCACACAAGATATGATACTATTGAAAGGTCCACGTCATATTCATCAAGTTCAAGAAATAATAATTATGCTATTATTGATGCAAGTCGAGTACGAGCACATGGTGATGGTTTAGTACGAGCTTATAGAAATGAAAAAGCAACATTTACTGTTGATACACGTGATAGTGGTAAGTGAAATGTTTGATTGCATAAATTTATTAATACGTATTTGTGTGTTCTTTTTCTTTTCTACCAAGGAGATGCCAAGTTAATGGTTGATGTATTTGGTCCAAAATATCCATGTGAAGAAGTATTTATAAAACATATGGGAAATAATCAATATAATGTTCAATATGTAAGAATATTTTTGATAGTATTCTTTTCTTTTGTTTCTGTTTTCTTGTTTGAATGAATTTATTTTTACATTTTTCTTTTTGCTTTTTTAGATTGTTCGAGAGAAGGGTGAATATATGTTGATTGTTAAATGGGGTGAACAACATATTCCAGGCTCTCCATGGCATATTGAAGTTGTTTAAATCAAACGTTGAACTATATCCCTTGAGAAAGAGAGTATCGAACAATCTCTTATTTATATACATACGCTAGAGAATTTCTTTTTTCTTTTATTTTGGGTGTGGGTGTGTGGATGTGGGTGGGTTGGTGTGTGTGTGGGGTGTGGGTGGGTGTGGGTGGGTGTGGGGTGGCGGGTGTGGGTACGAGTGCTGGAATCTTTTCTTGCACACCCACACCCACACCCACCCATACCCACACCCATCTCACATCCACACCCATCTCACATCCACACCCACCAACACCCACATCCCACCACACATCCACAGCCACCCACAGCGTACAGCCACACCCACCTACACTCCCCCCACACGCGCACGCCCACAGCCACCCACACCCACATTCACACCCATAACTGCTGATAGATTCCAAATAGTACTCAAGATGTTGCATTTCGAAACTGATGTAGGTCCTGATACTATATTGAAAAAGATCTGACCAGTTATTGACGTTCTACGTTCATCATTCAAGAGACTGTATAAACCAGGAAGATTTTAAAATGTTGACGAAAGTTTGCATTTGTACAGAGGTTCTCTATCATGGAAACAGTATATTCCTTTAAAAAGAGCACAGTTTGGATTTAATTTTTTCATGTTATCTGATATAAATGATTATATTCTGGATTTCATTATTTATACTGGTCGCGATACGACTTATAGTGAAATATTTAAT